TTTGATGCAGAAATGCATCTAGATGCTCTAGGAATATTTCTGCATAAAAACGAAAATTTTGAAAAAATGTCACTTACGTTATTTTGTCGGTTAGGGCTCGATATGTACGTAAGGTATATTAAAATGTCATTTCGGCAGAGCACATTTAGAATTCATTATAAACTGGTTTGAGATCGTTAATATATCGATATGACATTTTTTTCAAAATTTTATTTTTGATGCAGAAATGCATCTAGATGCTCTAGGAATATTTCTGCATAAAAACGAAAATTTTGAAAAAATGTCGCTTACGTTATTTTGGCGGTTAGAGCTCGATATTTCCACCTTTACGGAATTTATAATTTAATGTACGATATTGTTCTAAAAACAAAGGAGATACATCTTTATTATTCTTTCTTCTTTTCTTCTCTCACTTTCAGCCAAAAAGCCTACAAATCAAATCAAAAGCGACTATCGTTCAAACTCACAGTTAGACACTTCAACTGCCAGATTGAATGAAATGCGCAGCACTTCAGGCACGACAGCACATCCCACCGTAGGCATGATGCAACAGCAACAACAGTACCAACAGTCACAGTCTTATGCCACTAACCTAGATGTAAGTTCATCGAAACACGACAACAACAAAAATTACCAACAACAAGTGCAGGAAACCCCCGCAGCTACTGCCTCCATCGGTGGTACCAAATCGTTGCAGCATACCACGAAATCATGGCAAAAGAAGAAAACCTATCAACAGCAACAAAAACAAAAGCACGAACAACAAAAACAACATCAACACAAGCACACACATACCAACGGAGCAGCAGCTGAAAACACGCCTTACTACACTTACCACCCATCGTCGCCAGTGTCGGCTAGCAAAATTCTGAGTTTCCCAGAGAATTTGCCATCGGTGTTGTATCACGACTATCGCACCGAAGAGCATCAGCATCACCAACATCAACATCATCAGCAGCATTTGAAGCATCAGCAAAAGAAGCTCCAACTACAAATACAACATCAGCAGGAGCAACAACAAAAACGCAAACAACAATTGCAACAATATGGGCACCGCAGCGCTTGGAAAAGCAACACCCATCAGCCAACACTGTATCAACACGATATTTTTGAGGCAAAATCGGTGGGAGCGAGTGCATATGCCTCATCGCCGTCATTGTATGTCGGCAGCGA